CTTAAACTTAGGTTTATAGTAATTTTACCTTGAAGCCCTTAGCTCCATGTTTTATTTTCCATTAAGTTTAAATTCATGTTTACACTTATGCCTATGGTTTTTGAATAATTTGTGAGAGTCAATAAAATACAAGGACATGGACATAAAGGTAATATGGGACATCCACACATATGAATAAAATATCTTATGACACCACCAATAAGATTTTGAAACTACTAAAGTTTCACATAGGTCAAGCCCATAAGGTGGTGCCACATAAGATATACCCACATGTTACAAACTCATATGTAGATAATAATATGAATTAAATTAATTGTCAAAATCCCATGACTTCACACATTCCAAATATGGCACATATGAACAAAAAAAAAAAACATGTAACTTAAATCAAACTTAAGTCATAACAATATATAATACTTTAAATAACAAGATAACATGTTATAACATAATACCAACAAAAAAATTAATAATAAATAAGTCCCTATATGGATATGACTTCAGCATGGTGACATCCACGAGTGGGGAGGTGGGGGTGCCACGTGGCATCCTTATGGCCACTTGGGATCCATGTGGCATCCCTATAGAATGTCTTTGTTTGGTATTTATGTCAAACAAATTTGAAAATCATATTTTTATTGTTTAAAAAAATCTAAAAAAATTCTCCAAAATCCAAAAAATACTCAAAATGATTTTCAACATTATTACACAATTTATCATCAATATAAAAAAAATTTCTCATTAATTTTAGATTAATATGGGTCAAAGGTAAATGAGATATCTAGACTTTATCACTAGTCGGAGTCTTCCATTAGGCTAACCCAAATGATGTTCCACCGATGTCCACCTATACTCCATAGTCTATGTTAGGGATATATAATTGGTCACATCAAAGTCGTTTAGCTAGAGTTTTCCGTCACCGAGGGTTCAATGGATTACTGGTGCACCACTGTGGGACATCTTTCTACTCGAATACATGGGTCCTCTCAAAGCACATGTGCACTAGCTCTTCTAAGTCGGATAATATTATAGAAGAGTTGTTTTTCCATACGACTGTGGGTGCACATGTCATGGAATTATCTCGTATCAAGATACTGGCTCATGTCCTATGAGCCGACTATTCCATATAGGGTGAATACTCTTTCAAATACTCAGGTTTTATTATTCTGAAGTGGATTCTCCAAGCCCTGACTTATCACTTTAACTATGAGGTATTTTAATCAATATAGTCCTAACTGGGAGGTGACCCTCACACCTCCCTGAGAGTTTACACTCTCAAAACGTATATTATCAATGCCTTAAATACTCGGGGTATATGAATCTGGGCTCCAGTGCGCCAAGCACCCAGATTCAATCTCTCTCTAACTCCCAATGAGCGTAAGACTATTGGCTTTGAGGCATTAAAAGACTATATAGCCAACAGTTTAGAGGCAAAAGTGCTCATGATGTTAACGAGTTGGACAAGATATTTTGCAATACTGTTGCTGATGGGAGGCATAGTGGGACTTAGGTTGATGAAGGCACCGATGGTAGTGCACCTCCCTTGGAAGTGGATGATTCACCAATAGAGTCTCCTCACTTAGATACTAGTGATGAGAATATCGATATATTTACACCAAGCAATGCGTGTAGAACATCATCGAGGCAATATAAGAGGCCCACCTTAATACTACTTCTGAAGTGTCTCAAAAGGAAAGGCAAGGCACTCCTACTGAACAAGTGGTTCAAAGTTTAACTAAATTGGTGGAAACTATGACAGAGATGATGAGTCTCCAAACTCCCGTTCAGTCAGAGATAAAGATGAAGAAATGCATGGATGATGTTGACGAGCTATACAAGAAAGGGGAGGTGGGCTTGGAAGTCATATTGAAGGCTACCTGTATTTTCCAAAATGCATCTAAAGTTAGCCTTGCTGCTTGAGTACCTAGGGGTGTTTCTAGAGGAAGAGATGAAACAAATGGCAAATTAATGTTTTGGAGTAAAGTTTTTCTTTGGGATTTTTTTATTTTTATTTTGATTTTTATTTTATTTTATTTTAGTTGAACTCATAAAAGTTTACTTTTGGCAGTCTAAGCACTCCTTTTTTTTTTGTCTTAGACTGCATATGAATGGATGAATGACCTTCATGTCTTGGAGTAGTTTTCTTATTGATGAAACTAGACGTTCTTCTTTTAATGAAAATGCTGACATTATGTTCATGCGTGGTGTATATGCATGTGTAATTCTATTTGGTGAAAATATTTTACTATTTTATTTTTCCTTTTGTATAAAGTATGTTATTATCTATTTGATGACAAATGATGTGTTTGTGTTTTTCTATTTGTAGAATGTGAAACTTTCTTCTTTGAACTTATATATGTCATCTCAACTTTAATTTCCAGTTATGGATGATATGGATCATTTCGAGCGGCTTAGATTCAATACAATGCTATGTGGTTTATATGTTGTGTGTTTTGTGACAGTTTCATACTACAATATATATTTAATGAGGAAGAGCATCCACACTGCTCCATTACATGGCCATAGTTTGTTGCCTATATATTAGAGGTACATGAGTGAAATTGCTTTGATCTATTGCGTATGGAACGTCCTGCATTCATTGAACTTTGTAGGCTTTTAAGAGACGAGACCACACTATGAAATACTAGATTTGTGTTAGTTGAAGAACAAGTAGCCATATTCATAAGCACTATTACACATGACGAACATAATAGGATGACACAAATTTGTTTCCCGCACCCTAGCCAAACTATTAGTTGTTACTTCAATAAAGTACCGAGGGCTGTTTTGGCTATAGGAAAATGTTTATACGACCTCCAGGGATAGAAAAACTAGCTCACATAACTGGTAATGAAAGTTATGACACATATTTCAAGGTAACTATTAGTACTCAATTTTAAAATTCATTGCAAAATTGGTAGCATTGAATTTAACAAAAAAATCTTCATTGCTATAGCTAAAAAATTCATTACATTTTCTATCAGCATTGTGTAGGCGCAATTGATGGAACACATATCGCAGGGTGGGTTAAGAGCCACATGCATAAACGATTTCGTAATAGGAAGCTGTATTATCCCAAAATGTGATGGCTGCAGTGGGCTTCAATTTGCAATTCCAATATATACTTGCTGGATGGGAAGGATCTGCATCAAACTCCAAGATCTTATACAATGCTTTGGAAAGGGATACCGGTCAATTAACAATACCTGCAGGTAGCTAAATTTTGTAACGAACTCTTATGTATAGCAGGACAGTAGTTAAGTAACTAACCATATTTGTCCAACTTGTGCAGAAAAATACTATCTTGTGGATGGGGGCTATTCGATCATTCGGGGTTTCCTTGCTCCCTACCAATTGGTTCGCTACCATATAAGTAATTTCGAGACCGGCAATAGGGCAAATGCTGTGGAGTGAACTTTTGGGTTATGGAAAGCATGCTTTCCAATTCTAAAAAAGCAGTTTCAGTATCCATTAAACACACAAATCAAAATAATAATTTGCAACGGCTGTTTTGCATAACTTTATCATGACGATGAGAGGAGTGGGTGGTGTGCATGAGTTACGATTTTCAGAAAGAATTTTTGAGATCATAACCAATGAGGTAGATGACGGTGATCCAATAGAAACCCAAAGTATTGAGGACCATGTCGAAGGAGTACAACTGGGAGATGAAATTGCATCCCAATTGTGCCACGACCATGTGAATCGTTAAAAAAAGTAAAAATAAAAAAAATCATATGGAAATAAATGTCTTTCGTTATCTTTGTATATTTGAGAACTATGAATTGGTGATATGGGACCTTCATAGCACATTTGATTAATGGTCGATAACAAAGTATTTTGTAGAATGGTTTACCATCGAATTTGGGATATTTAATCTATGTGTTCCTCTTAATTTAGAATATATGATGCAGGAAATTAATATTGATATTAAGAAATGAAGCAAATCTTACCGAACAATGATCCAATGCAACGTTGTATCATAGTATAATGAAACGACACTTATAGAAAACCATGTTTATGGTATTTGTATGATCCCAAATTTTACACACACACTCTCTTCATCTCAATAATCAATCCTCTAAAGAAAAAAAAGTTCAATTTGAACCCTAGATACGGTCAAAATGAGTCCCCTCCAAAAACGAATCTAGATCATTCATTTTGTGAATTTCAAGATCTTAGCCTTTATAAATTCAAAATCTTTTTTTTTTTTTTTTAACATTAAAGTCATCCAAAAAAAAATGGAAATGAAAAAATCCTTTTA